CCTCATGATGGTGAGTGCATGGGGTGGGGACGATGGATCGATGGAAGAGAGAGCGTGTGACGAGCGAGCGATTGCGAAAATCACGTGATCTTGAAAAAAAAAAGGAAATAAAATAACGTAAAGATCTCAAAATAAGAAAATAATAACACGAATAAACATATAACGAATAATAACATACACAATAAATATAATAACATATAATAAGTTAATAAGTTACAAAAATTAATAAGTTATATATACACGAATAATAACATGAATAATACGAATGTTAATAATGATTATAAACGATCGTGGTGATAAAAAATGTTTAATGAATGTAAGGAAGAATTATAAATGAACATGATGATCCGGGGGATGTACGGGATTCGTCGCGGCTTGCTGGAACAAAGGTGTTTTTCTCGGGGACGATCCAGCGGGTTTTGTTTGCGCACCAGACCTGAGCGTCTGACAGTATTTCATCCACATATGGGCACTCGATGTTCATTACCGGCTGCTGCAAAGATATGAGGGTCCTGCAGAAGTTGGCTCACTACCGAAACCATTTGCCGGCAGAGAAAGAGGAGATTCCGCATTCCCTGATAATAATGATGCAAAATAGTAAACATGATGAAAACGAAATCGATGTAAGCGAAACATCGGTAACAAAAGAAAATTAAGCCAAAAAAAAATTGCATTCAAAAGTTTCTCCGTTCCGCCCGTAGGTGGCAGAGCTGGCGCCGCTGGGCTCCCTGCTGGACAGGCTGCGCAGTGAGGGTCATCGCATAGTCATCTCGACGCTGTGCGAGTACGCGGTGCAGGTCGCCAACGGCATGGCCTACCTCGAGTCGAAGCGCTTCATACATCGCGATCTCGCGTGCCGGAACGTACTGCTAGCGTCGAGGGAGAAGGTAAGCTACCCCTTGCTTCCTCTGCGTGAGAGAGCAGGTACATCCTCCCTCCTTCCTCTTCCTCCTCGAGTCGAAACGCTTCATACACCGCGACCTGGCGTGCCGGAAGGTACTGCTAGCATCCAGGGAGAAGATAAGCTTCCTCCTTCTCCTCCTTCTCTTCCTCCTCCTCCTCCTCCTCTTCCTCCTCTGTGAGAGAGGAGGTATGCCCTCGGGAAGAAAGACATGCCATGTTTGCTCTTTGATTTATGTTGCTCCTTGTATGATACATTTTGATCGAGCGAGAGAGAGAGAGAGAGAGCGAGAGAGAGAGAGAGAGAGCCAGATGCCGGCTGCGATCGCGGCCCGCTGCTGCCCCTCCTCCTCACTCCATCCGCGCCTCCTCCTCCTCCTGCCTTCACTCCTCCTCTCTGGCTCTTCCTCCCTGCCGCGAAGCTGCTGTACTGGCGAGGACAACCGTCGGGCTGTAGGGCGTCTGCTGCCCGTGCGGTCGAGCGTGCCGCCGCGATCGCGGTGGCCGCGCTGGGCCGCCGCGCGCGCGTGAACGCCCCCGCCGGGCCCGCACGCAGCGCCGCCCGCAGCGCCGGCGTCTGGGCCGCGCGCGTGGTCCGCAGCCGCTGGCCGCCCGCGCGCGCGCAGCACGTAACGTGCCGCGGGTCGAGCGGGTCGCCACCGTCATCAAGGGAAACGTCCCTCGCGACGCTCAACGGGGTCGATTGCAGCGCGCCTGGTGGGGGGAGAGCGGCGATGGCGTCGTCGAGCCAAGCGGGAATACGCTCCCGCGCCTCCTCGCCTCCTTCTGCCCTCCGCCGCCTCCTCCTAACTCGCCACGGTCGCGCAGCAGGGACCGCTGGTGCTATTGTTTCTTGGCAGCGCCCGGCTTGCTGCCGACCTCGTCGGTCCTGGTGCTTTCGTCGCGCGGCGATGAACGAGGAAGATGGGGAGGAAGGAGGAGCGGCGTCGCCGCGGCAACGAAGGAGGGGGAGGGAGTCCACTTCGCGGACGAAGAATCCTGGATGACCTTGCCCGGGTAAGAGAGAGTATCCGCCCCCGCCCCCCCGGCACCGGTAGTGTCCCGGAGCGAGGGCGAGTGAGGGTCGCAGCGAGGGCGGTGCCGCGGCGACGGCCTCCCTCCCCGCAACGCTCGCGTAGCAGGTGGTCGGCGGATATGGCGGGGCCCGGGCCTGCCGTCCGCCGCGGCGACCGCGTTGCCCACTGCGCTGCCCTCACCGACGAAGACCGAGACACAGACCCACCGGGACGTCTCCGTTCGGATCGTGGCGACCCGCTGCGCGCCGCCGGCGCCACCTTAGTGGGGGGCATCACGCCGGCGCTGGGAGGGCGACGCTACCAGATGCGGCACGCCGCGAGACGGCGCGCCGCCGAGATGGGTCGCGAGCGACCGTGCGGTGCCCCTGGTTGGTACGGCGTCCTCGTCCTC